TGAAATTTACCGTTATATGAAAATCAGCCGTAATTTTAGTCCGATTTCAATAATTTTCAATGGTTTGCTTTTATGTGGCAAGCGCAATAACCATACCGAGTTTGGTATAAATTGGTAGAACGGTTACCGAGATATATATATGTGATCATAAGTGGGCGGTGCCACGCCCTTTTTCCAAAATTTTATAATAAACGTATTTCTTGGTAAAAAAATGTCGCAAGCCTCAATTTTGAATAAATTAGCTTTAATATTTACTGATTTATCGAAGATTTCGTATTTCTCTAAATTACCGTTATTGTCCGCTTTTTAAAATTTTCGGCCATTTAGTATGCTGTATCAAGGCCAACCACTGTGCTAAGTGTTGAAGAAATTGGTGCAGCGGTTATCAAGATATACACATGTAACCATAAGTAGGCGTGGCCACGCCCATTTTCCAAAAATTTATAATATTCTTATTTCTCATCTAAAACTTATTATAAATATCAATTTTGAGTGAATAATCTTCTTACCGTTATATGGGAGGTAGGCGTGGTTATTTTCCGATTTTGCCCATTTTCAATACCATCCGTCCTATGCTAGAAAGAAGTGCACGTACGTTTCGTTCAGATATCTCAATTTTTACTCGAGTTATCGTGTGCACAGACGGACGGACGGACGGACGGACAGACAGTCACCGCTTAATCGATTTCTCTTTTCATTCTGATCATTTATGTATACATTTGTCTATATCTATCTCGATTCGTTTTGCCTGTTACAAACAACCGTTATGTGAACAAAGTTATAATACCCTTGTGCACAAGTGCGCTCGGGTATAAAAAGTGTTTGTCAGCAAGTGCCGTTTGGGCATTGTGGCGTCTGTGGATAAAAGTGATCATTATTTTAAAAAAAACCAGTGTACTTTTATATAAAAATGCATTAGTTTAATAAGAAGTCTATGCATTTATATATGAGTGTACTTATGTTTTATTTTCATATGGAAATTTCCATATCTAAAGTGCAAAAAAGTTGTGTGTCGGGCGATTTGATGGACAAAGTGTGTATATGGCGGCTTTATTACAAAACCAATGTTTATTATATACAGATGGCATAAGTTTAATTTAAATATATGCATTTATACATGAGTATGCATACGTAATGTTTTCATCGGGCAAGAATAAATATTTTCCAATTTTTTGTTCATATCATGCAAAAAAAACAAACGCATAAATGTGAAACATAAGTGGTCTCCATCTTTC